CTCCCCTTCCAACAGAAAGTAATGGTGATGATGCATTTTAATAGTGTTTTACATAAATTGGCTCTCTGAAGAATGCTGTATGTTGCTATAAAGAATGTTCTCTTTGGCTGCTTCTGGTGTGAATTCTAGTGAGCCACATATGTGCTGTGGCAACCCTATGCAACAGTGAAACATAGCAACTAGAGACTGTTTTCAACTGGATGAGTTAATGTTAAGCAATTGTGACTTTGGTGACTCCTCTTACAACCCTTAAATACCCTGGTTACTCAACAGCTGGCAAATGTGGCATCTGATACTTCTGCACTCATCCTTCGAGCTCAGTGATACCTCCTCTATTCGATCAAGGACATTTTAATTGGCAACCTGAACTTCAGCTAAACTTCTCCATCAGCTGTATCTCTGGTTCTCATTCCTCTACTCTTGGGTGGAGCAGAGCTTGACATAGGCCTGTCTTGAGCTTTGTCCCTCTTGGAGAGGGGAGAGGCTGAAGCCAGCTTTAAACCTGTAATGAACTAGCTGCAGTCCAGGAGTTACTGGGCTGGATGCAGACACAGAATGGAGCAGGCTGGTAGTTTTCTGTCACTTCCCCCCTGCCCTTCTTATTCTGCTGTAAAAGTTTTTTGTTTCCTTTTCTTTTTTCTTTTTTTATACAAGCCATTCGTATTTTGCTTCAAGATCTGTTACGAGGTACTTTTTCTTGCTGCTTCACTGGACACTAAACTCTAATTTCTCTGCAGTAATTTTTAATAACCTAGAACTCTGTGCACAGTGTTTCCTGTAATTAGGCATGTTTCAGGCAGTTGTTCCTTCAGGCCTCCACTGCATTTCAGTGGAGAGGAACATAACCTCCACCTCCAGTTGACATAGATTATTTATAGATGGAAAGCTATGGCCCCCCGTGAATGAAAGCATTATTCATGGAGTGAGATGTAATCCCTAAAATCCAGGCTGGGAGAACTGCTGCTCAGCTGAGACCACTTTTAAAACCTATGAGGCAACTGCTTTCACTGTAAACTAAGGAATCAGGTATAAATACATTTTACTACACCTTTAAAGTACAAAACAGAACAGATGATTGAAAGGCACCGTGCTCTCTTGCCAGTACTTTCATGGACTTGTTCCAGCCCTCCCAATCTCTTTTTTTTTTTTTTCCAGTTTTTTATACACTTATTAATTCTGTTCCCCCTGCCCCCAACACACACTCTTCCCCTTCCAGTCTTTGGTCAGACAACAATATAGTGGCTTGATTCAAAACTTACTGATTAGCTGAGATTAGCTATTATTTCAAAACCCTACAAATTAGGCAAGGTATATATATTCAGCTGGAAACCAAAGGAGATCTGTTGCAGGAGATCGGGGTGGGAGCAATTCACTGGACAAATATTGCAGAGCAGCTCAGTTTACTGTAGTACAAAGCACCAGGGAATGTGCATCCAAAGTCCCGTGTGACACACATCGGGGAAGGACACCCTTTTTCATGATACAGCTGCCTGCAAAGCTACGCAGATCAGGTTTGGTCACCTGAATTGCAGGAGCAGATAAAACACTGAGGGCTTGAGAAATATGTAACTTTAATTAAAAACAAACAAACAAACAAACCTCTAGGATTCTCTCAGAATTTGGGAGCTGGCAGGGCATTGTAGAAAATGGCATGCATTGAGTCTTGTGCATCAGAAAATATATCACGAGCTGGCAGCACTGGACAGTGCAAGGCTCAGAAGAACAAAAGGTAAACCTAGGTGCTTTAATATGCTGCGAGTTGGGAAGGAAATATTTCAAATATAATTTGTTTGGGGGCCATCTGAGCCTACAGACTTGTTTCAGCTTGTTACCATCCACGGTGCATTGTTTCTGCCATCTACCTCTAAACGACCAGTTAAAAGGACAGCTGCATTAAGTTACATAGCTCCACTTTATCCAGGCATGGTTTAGTGGTACAGGTTGGACTGTACACAGAGGGGAAAACATTGTCCTTGCCCAGTGACTATGCAGGCATTGATTTTAACAGGAATTGAGATGTGTGGGCAGGACTTACTCTGCTGTTGTTATTGCTCTCTAGTGATAGGCACAAATTCTATTTCTCAGTGCAGGAAGGCTCAAGTTTATCCTGTCTAATTGAGATGCCAAAAGCTAGGCATCTCCGGGGCCCGTTTAGCCTAATATCACTTTCTACTGACCATGGAGAAACTAACCTATGCTAGCTGTCTTTGTTAGGTGAGACAAATACTGACCCAGTGCAGTGCCTCAGATCCTTGAGCGTGGGGCTAACTGGAGAACTATAACACTCTCTGTTACTAACAAGATACCCAAAGACCTCTTTCCTTCTGAAATTTCCATCTGAAAATCCAAATTCCAACTATGGAATTGGGGGATATAGCAGGAGGGAACTGCTAGAGGCAAACACTGTTTGCCCACCAACTGTGAGGGCCCTGCTTCCATGGGCTAACTGAGGCTGGAGGGATCCTCTTCCTTTCTTTGGTAGTCTGTAGGATGTGTCCACCATCTTTGTAGGCAGCACTGCAAGGCAGAGATTTCCCTTCTCTCTTCTAGCTGGGCAGTTCAGCCCAAGTGCAAGGGCTTGTTCTATATTTGGACTTTGGTCAGTTACTGAAGGTAAGGGAGGGGGAAGCCTCATCTGAATCCTGCTGTCTTTTCCCAGGCGCGTTCCAGATGTAAGCATGCCTAGATTTCTGATTTGATCTCAATTTGTGCTTTGCTAGAGGGAAATGAGGAGGGTCCACAGCTGAAAGCCCAGGCTGGGAGAAAGTAAAATCTGCCGCAAGCATCCATGTACCTGTCTCAGTAATAGAAGCAATGGGAAAATTTCTGTTTAATGGAAGGAAGAAACTGAGTGCTCCTAAAAACCTTGCTAAACTTAGGGAGTCATTGCTACCTTTCAGCTCCTGTTTACTCTTTCTTTTGACGATGCTCCATTCTGCTAGTAAAATTTCTTCCGTGTGACTGGGCTTTGTAAAACCTACTTAATCCAACATAGAAATGTTTTATGCAGTTGCATCCAGCACAGTGCTATTTCAGTTGATTTAAATGAGAAAGTTAAATCTCAGTCTAGACGGAGCTCCGTTTAGCTCTTGTGAGTCTTGCACCCGGCAAGATGCATCATCTCTGAATGTTTCTCATTTTCCAGAGAAGCCCAAGAGAGCTACATCTCCCCATAAAATTCCTGTCTGCACTAAATTGCCTTTTAGCGGTGATTTATACCTCAATAAAATACATCACGAGAAGGAGAAAATGTTTAATTGTATAAGTGGCATGACTTATGTGAGACATTTTTTGGTGCTTATTTATGCATTTATCTTCTTTAAAAGGGGGTGTAAAGACCCCTGACTTTCATTTACAGTGGGAACAGTAAAGGTCAGAAAAAATAAACAGAGTGGAGAATGAGGAGTAAATCTTAACCTAGTGTGGCTTCTGAAAAAGACCTTGCTTAGGAAATCCACTAAAAAATATGGACAGGTTCAGGCTGGATTTAGGATCCTAAGGGATTCCCCAGCGAAGAAACCCTGAGAAGAATCCTTTCTCCTAACAAACTGAGCCTGAAAGCAGAACGAAATTCGAGGGTCTTTGCCTCGCACCTGATTCTGGATGTTATATTTCTTTTCTCAAAGCAGTTGCAGTGGCAAGTGGAGGAATCTTTTATGTTGTTCACAAAATCAGGGATTTTGAGTACTTGTTTGTTTCCCCAACCTCAGAACCTCTTTGAAAGTTGTATTGTGGCCGTCTTTTAAAATAGATAGCTTAGGGGTGAATATAGTGCCAGAGCATCATTCGCAAGACATGAGCTTTGGGACATGTGAGCCTGTCTTCAGGCTTCTGCTGTAAGACTTCTGCTCGCAGCTTCATCCTGCCAATGATGGGTGTTCGGGCAGCAGCTGAAACATGTTGTTCAAGCAGCACATGTGAGATGAGAAGGCTCCAGGATAATTAGAAATGGGTTTATTGCTGGGAGGCTGGCATGATTTACTTAATTTATATCATAAGTGTGCTTCCTTATCTCTTCTATTGCCTGTGTAATGGCATAGCTTTGAAGCCTGTTCTTTGGGGTGTGAAAGTTAAGGGGCAAAGTGAAGCCTGTTGTCCAGCTCCAATTTTATCTCATTACTGATCAAATGTTTATTATAGTATAAGAGTCAGTGCTTGACAGGTGCTTCCACCTGCATGAACATGACCCTTGCCTCAAGGGCTGTCTAGACTTCAAAAGCTGGATAGTAGGTGTGTGGTAACGCGTAGCCACTCAGGCACAGACTTGCCTATGTATTTACATATTAGTCAGGCTGACAGAGTGAAGGAATACTTCATAAGCGTGTAGGCCAACATAGCAATCTTATCTCCTTGTTATCTACTGCCTCAGCCCTGCGCCTACATGCCTTACTGCAATGTTGCACTCTGCATGGTAACTCATCTTCCATGAACTGGCAAATAGGAAGAGCTATGTCAGGAACTCGGAGATTTTGAGTAGTGAAAGGTAGGCCTTCTAAAGCATTTTATGCCATGCCAGCTTTCTGATTGCCAGTAAAATATTTTGAATTCTTCCTACTGACATCTAGGAGTTTCCCTGAAATGTGAGAACTGATCAACACAATTTTCAGAAGTTCCCCTCTTACCCAGCAATGGACAAAGAAGTTGCGTCTTCGTACTTAAACACTGTACCTGCTGACACGGTGGGCTGCACACATCCTTTGAGACACTGTTTACTACAGAGACATGCCTAACTCTTCTTTACCAAAAAAAGTCGCTCTGGAAATGTGTTCAGCAAAGACGCCTTTACCTCAAACCCTTACAGCTACCCAAAATACTAGTTCTTGCTAGCTTTTGAACTAAGGCTGCAGCCAAGCCTAACAATGAGAAGCCTGAATTCTGAGTGCTGTGGGTGTTTGGTCCACATTTAAGAAAGAGAGTATTTTCTTGCTGAACTTCATGAAAAGAAAGGCAATTAAGCTTCTATTAAAATGGCTTTTGACTTTGTAGAAAGTGAAACTTACCATTATGCAGTGTTTTTCTGGCTTCCACCTACAATATGTTAATCTAAGGAACACAGGAGCTTTGTGTATTGACGATAGCTATCGCTGTAGGAAATCCAGCATTGTGGTAAACCAGCTGCTTTTTTTGCCTTTCCCAATTGTAGAATTTTTTTTTTTCACTTCCAGGATTTCCTTGTTCCAAATCTCTCTTCATAGACACAAGCACTTTCTTTCACTGAAAGAAAAAACATAAATAAAATGCAGGTGAACAAAGAAGGAGAATGCCTTTCCGTCGACTTTACCGTCCTGCCAATTCAAATGGTTCTGCATAGCACAGGATTTCCCTGCACAGTTCTCCTGATGAGGCACAAGGCTGACCTCAGGGTGAAACCGATTCTCTCTAAAAGAGGTTTAAATAACTATGCCACTGTCAGTAATGTATTTGTGTTTAATCAGTGACATGACCTTTTTATATCCCCGTTAAGGACTGAGGAATTTTGGCAGGTACCATAAACTGATGCATGTTGCATGGCCTTACTTTACTGTTCCCAGTGCATTTATCAGGAAGCCAATATCCAAAATTGCTCAATAGCTCTGGAATGTTTATTCCAGCCGTTCCTTCATCTGCAGGTCTGCAGCCTAATGTTGCAGCTTTGTGCTGGCAATGCAAAAGGTCAGATAGACCTTATCCAGAAGAAAAATCAGCTTCTTTGGGCTTCACTGAACAGGCTTTGAGGGAAATGCAGCCCGTAAACCAAAACACAACCAATCTACAATCATGAGTTCAAAATGCACTATTTTATGGGTTTGAATAGCTTAGATTCTTTCTTAATACTTCTGTTCTTCATACTGAGACAGTGCCTAGATGCTAGACCACCATCTGGAATAAGCAAACGTAAAGCAAAGGCTGACCTGTATACAGAAGTTCATTAACCTACCTTTAAACTGGCCACTCTTGCTTTCGGAAGTCATTTTAGTTTGTTTTTTAAATCTGTTGGTTGTTTTCAGCAACCAAACATAACATTGGTGAGGCCCTGTCCTTATTCGGATGAAGAATACAACTATGCTGCAGGGAATCTGCCTTTTGACCACTCAGGTATATAAGTGACTGTAAACTAATGACCAGTTTTTTGATAGGGATTTTTTGAGACACTTACTGTGTCAAAAAAGACCTGAACTGCATGAAAAAGCATAAGAGCTGTTAGGAAGTAGCTGAGCAAGCTTATGAGAGAGCTCTGAGTTAAAAGAATGGGGAGGGTCTATGCCACGTGTGGAGGGATTTAAGCTTTAGATGGGCTTGGTGTGTGGCTGCAGTGAGCCATAACACAATCCTTCCAGCACATGACATGCAGGGTGAGCTGGGAGCTGGGTGGAGTGGTTTGGCTTTGGGATGCCTTCCGTTTGCTGGGATAGTCAGTATGAAGGAAACCTTGAGAACAGAGTACATCTGCTTTTTGAAGACCTCAGTAACTTTCACTATTTTTACTTGCAAACCTAGAAAAGTGGTTGTCCCTTAGGACTGGTTTTCTTGTCAGGGGATTTTCTAGGGTTTGACAGCAGCTCCAGAATTTCAGCAGGCCTTTGCTATCCTCTAGTTGTATCATACAGAGAACCCAGAAAGGATGGCTTTTCCCCCTGCGTTTTTCTAGGCAGCACCAATGTCTCATCCAAAAACTATGGAGGATAGAACTGTACAAAATGAGGGAGAAATGACTGCCTTCTAAAGTATGTTCACATCACTACGTAAACACATACCCCCCTCCCCCCCAAAAAGGACTAATAGCAGAGGCTGAGTAAGCTGCAGGATCTTTCAGCTGAGAGACACTGCTAGTAAAAGTCACACAGCAGTCTCATTTCTCTGCTCCCAATAAATGAGGAAAACTGGCGTCCTGGCAAGGATTTTTCCTGTCTGTCTGGGTCTTAAGCACAGAAGCAGCACTTCGCAGGGAAGAAAAAAATATTTTAGTGTGAATAGCAGCCAGCTGCTGATTTTTTTTTTTCTGTCTCTGGCTTCCGAAACATACATTCAACATGCTCAACACAATTGCTCACCCCTTGTCCAACTTGCAGTGGATTTAAAGAGCAGTACCAAAATTTTCCCCATATTTTGAACACAGCAAGTTTCTTGAGGGATAAAGGGCCCAGAGACAACTTCTTGCACTTAGCCAAGTCTATTAGCTGAATATTCACCCAGAAGAGCAATAAAATATTGTGCCAAAGATCTTGGAAAGATGGGGGGCAACTTCACAGAGACTCTTTGTAAAAGCAGCATGTGCTGCCTCACTGAGGGGCCACCAATGCTGGCCTCGCTTGGTTCATCTTTCTGGACTCCCTGTTTTGTGGAAGCTTTAGCAGCCCCTTTGGCTCCCTTGCTCTTCCTCTCCAGCCCCTGCTGCACAAGCCATGCACTATTTGTGTTTTGTACTCTCGGAATGGTGAACAGGAAAGTTATTTCCCTCTGTCTTCCTGCAAGGCCACCTTTTCTTCTGCAAGATGCTAGCCTTGAGGAAGGGCAGTCTGTACCTTTCTTATCTTCCATTGTGGAAGTGTCAAACAGCTCATGGCTGTTTGGCTGTTTAAGACTTCTTGCTTTGGCTGAGCGCATGCATCTTCTGTGACCTGGGAGATGTGCTGATGCTGCTGGGCCTTGTCTAGGTGTGGACAGCTGTATGGCATAACTGTAAAGTGCAATTATGTCATTGCAGTAATGCAAATGTAACTCTCTTGCAGAAAGAAGAGCATATTTCAAGCTGTTATTTGAGTCATATCTGAAGCAATGACTCGAGTGCAATAGGACAAGCAAGGTATTTGATCCAACAACGTCTCTGTTTCTCTGAGATTCGGCAGTGGTCAGTTCTGACCTGCTGGCATGTACTCAGCCCAGGAAAGACCACGTAGCTGGAGAGGTGGAAGGAGTTACCAGCTGAGAGATCCCTGCAAACAATACAGCAGGATAGTCTTCTGCTAAATGCACCAAGCAAGAAGCCTGCAGTCTGTTGGCATATTTATTCCGCTGGTGGTATGTTCTTTTCACTGCTATGAAAAGGGCATGAAATCTGCCTATGAAGTCTATACAGTATTCATCCCCCTTGCTTAGTTAAAGGAGTTAGATTCTTTTCATGTCAGCAGTAACTTTATGCTAAAATCCTGTAAACTAAAAGGCTGCAGAAAACTTGAGCTTTTACCTAGCGCTTAACTTGACAGCTTAGGCAACCAAGTAGCATTCCAGAAGTAAAACGGGGTTTTTCAAATGACTGTTTTGGGATTATTACCCTTATCTTTCAATTACTAAGTTCAGTTCCTGTAGTCCAGTCTGAGGTATACAGAAAACATTTGCTCACCAAATGGTGTGAAGAGCAAGATTACCCTTCTGTGATCCATGTGATTTACGAGGGTAAATCATGGTTTTAATAAACTGATCGAAAGACAGATCCAACTAAAATCCTCCAAAGGCGAGATGAGGAGGGGAACAACTTGTCAGCTGTGTTTAAGGAAGAAAGGCAAACAAACTCTTAGGCCCCTCTGTACTAAAGAAGGACAACATTGTACTGAAATGGCTAACTGCTGCTCCATGTACTGCATGATTATACTTTGTACCCTTTCATAGCACTGAGGAAAGAAAATAAGGTGCAACCCACACGCCCTCCAGATCTGCCGTAAGGCATTTTTTTCCATCTTGCATAATGAACAGGCGCTCTGTGCTTTTGCTTCACAAACAAATTATTTATTGCTTGATGCTGAATTCCCCTTTTATGCGCTGCGTTATTATTTCACCAGCGTATTTCAAAAGTTGCTCTTTCAGATTTCTTCTACCCTTTAGAACTCAAAAAAGCTTCTGTTTATGCTGATTGAAGCTCTACAGGAAGTCATTAGATCCTAATTATGAGAGCAGTTTGAGGGCCAGGCTACTACACAGTCCTTGCAGCCTAAAGAGGTAACAGTGGGAGAGCAAACACTGGTATGAAGATGTGAAATGA